GGCTGCCCAGGGAAATTGTTGAGTCACCATCTCTGAAGGTATTTAAGACATGTAGATGTGGCGCTTAGGGACATGGTTTAGTGGTGGACTTGGCAGTGTTCGGTTTATTGTTGGACTTGATGATCTTAAAGGTCTTTTCCAACCTAAACGATTCTTTGATTCTATGATTCATGATGTGAGAGAAGTTGGGAAACAAGATACTATGTGTAAGCCCTGACAAGTACTGTCAATGAGATCCAGTGATCACCTTTATTTTCAAGGTAAACCACTACAACAAAACTCTTAACAAGTTCTCATGTTTTACCATGTCTAAATATACTTACTGTAAAAGGTTTTGCAGTTCCCTTATCATCTTTACTTGAAATAATCTTGGCGTTTTTTCTGGTTTCTCTCAAACGCTCAAGTGATGGAGGCTTTATAAATATAACAAATGGTTTAAATTCATATGTCCGTAAGTGTTTCACTGTCTGGGAAGAGGAAATATTTTAATTAATTTCGCATCATGGAATTTACTGTAATAAAAGAAACTCTCCACTAACCAAAATAAATCCATAAAGCACTCCTAGAAGGCTATTTTACATTTACTGCCATCCCACTCTGCTGATCAGCATTGATTCATGTAAGGAGCATTTTCACGTGAACGGTAACAAAACTATGTCTTTAAGAGTGACCATTTCTCTTGATTCCACACAGGCTGCTGGTAAATCCCATCAGTGCAGCAAAGGCTGGGCAGTGCACACCAGCGCCACTGGCAGCGGGAGGATGGTGGGGAGCGGCAGGGCGTGCAGGAGAGGAAAAGTTCAACACGTTTTAGCAGGAATAACACTTTCTGTAGCCATGAAAAGTGGTGGAAAAAGGTGTCTGTGACACTCGGTCACAACTGTTCAATGATTTTTCTCTTCGACACTGTGTGTCCACCACACAACCCCCTTGCTGTTCACTCTTCCTGAGCGAGTCAAGTGATGCTACGTATGGAGTTAGAGATAGGTCTATGACTCGGATTCCAGCACAGGGTGAAGCAGGGATAGCCAGCAGCTGAGGGTGAAGTAGGGATGGCCAGAAGCTTTCTGTCCTCTTCACAGGCCAGGGCCCACAGGAAAACGCTGTGTGAGATCCCAGAGCGGTTCACAAGCCTGGGTCCCCAAAGCAATTGAGTGCTTCACTGGAAAGCCGGGCCATGCTGGACAAACAATGGTCTTGCAGAGCGGGAGTCCCTGCCCAGCTCTCCTCCCCTGGCGTGGGGTCTGGCTTCCCCGGCCGGTCCTCTGCCAGCACAGCTCCCCCACCCCGTGTCCGAAACTGCCCCGGGAAGTGTTCACGAGCTGCCAGGGTTCAGAAGTCACAGTCTGGCCACCCTTGGAGAAGAAATACTTTGGCTGGGTTTAAACAAACTAGTTCAGCTCCTGGAAGCATTATGGTTATTAGTAGCATAAAAATTCCCAGTGGAGCTGTTCAGTGGGGTTGAAAGACAAGGTCAGTGCAAGAACAAATGGTTGAGAGGGGAATGTTTTTAACAATTATCCGGCCTACATCCCATTTAGCACGTTCCTTGACTCATGTCCACCTTGCACGCAAACCCTTGCCATGAACAGTCTGGTTAAACGTGAGAGTGTTGCTGGACCGGGTGATAGCTCAAAGCCGTTCTGAGATTGAAGTTTCAGAGAGAACCTCTAACCCAAACCAGCAGAAAGAGGAATGGAAATATAGCAGCATTTTGTAATTAAATCTTTGGTATTATGCTGCAGGCTTTCAATTCACTTAATTACCAAGCTGAATACTTGCCAATATATACTGAAGTTTCCTTCCTCTCCTTTCAGAGAGCCTTGCTGTGATAAAGGTACCCAGCAAGCCCACTGAACAGTCATGCAGCATGGAATAAAATACACCTTTTCAGAAACTTTTTTCCTGGAATCCCAATATGCAATATGGGGAACTACAAGAGTCTAAAAGACATTCTTACTTACATGAGGCTGCACATCCAACAAACAAACTTTGTTTTTAGCTAGGACTGATCGAACAGAGTCTAAGCTTGTACCATAGTAGTTGTTCTTATACTCGCCATACTCGATAAACCTGTGGCAGAAGGTGAAAACAACTGGAATCGTTTCCATTTTCTCCAGAAAAAAACCCTTATCAGTTTGGTTTATAAGATCTAATTCAGGAGCAAAAATATTTTACTTTACATGAGAGTTTTACCATGTTTTATAAAGGAAATGCTGTCAAGTACTTCAGCATGTCAATTTTAAGAAATCTTCTACTTTACCACTTTCAAATCAGTAACACCTGCTTGTATTACAGTTAAAGAGAAAAAAGTACTGTAGTCCAACAGCCCACTAATGTTTTCCATCACCTCTTTTTCTGAACTAATGCAATGCAATAAAACAGTGGATAAGCTAAACAATAGAAACTACTGAAATTTCATTGCACTCTACAGAATATCCAAACTCTCTGTCTCAGAAGGGGAGGAGGAGCAACGATGGTGCTAATGGAACCAAGGCGGCTGGTTATGTGCTATAAAAGTAGAAGCGCTATTTGCCAAAAAAGCAAAGCGCAGTTTGAAGTTTCAATAAAACCCACAGCTTTGTGTCTAATACACTTTTGCCCTCTGAAACACTGGGGCAGAATTTCAAGCTACAGTATTTTACAGGCTGCTAGAGAGCACGATGCTACCATTGTCTTCATTTCAGTTTAATTTCTGGCGGGTTTACAGGCAGGGGCTTCACTGTAGATCTCTAAATTCAAAAGCAGAGGAAGTGCCTGGCCTGAAAGAGAGCAGAACTACGCAAACATTGACTCAGGCACGTTTGCAGCACTCCCAGGGCCCCCCCTCCTAGAGCTGCAATGCTTTATTGCTATGACAGACGATGCTCTATTAAGAGTGCTCCCCCATCCTGAACACCTACAATTTCAGTATCTTCCTGAGGAGCTGAAGTACTGAAACTACTTGGAAGCTTAGAAACAGTTATGTTTGCACATACTGCTTTTTTGCTCTGTGTTTTTGCCAGCTGCTTATATATTAACACATCTTCAAATCGCTGCACCTTATATCCACGTTGACTTCTTATCTAAAATTACAACCAGCCCCATTTTATAATAAAGCCACTGTTTTAACTGCAGTTCTAGTTAAAATCTCTTCGACATACTTGTTATTCTGTACGTCTGTCTCAAACAAGTGCTTGGAAATGAAAATGTATTCAACACCATCACTTTCTTGGCTTCTCCTTGGACGGGTAGTGTCTGCAGTTTCATTAAATTAAAAAAAAATATTAAAAAAAGGAAAATATGCACAAAACAACATAACGCAAACCAGTTCAGAAAACACTGACAAGCACACCCTTGTGCAATACTAAGCATAGCGGTTCCCTCACTTCTGATGGAGATAAGGCTGCTCTGGATCTGGTAGGTGGCACATAAGCACGTGACAGGATTGAGTTTTAAAAGCGTGCAGGAAAAGCAGGAAAAAACCTACTGGACAAGTATCAGATTATCATTTTTATTAACTAGTGGAAAAATCCAATAAAATGAGGACAGCTGAATAATAAAAGGAGCAGCAGTCCATAACAATTACCCAAGCCTCGCCACTTGTTAAACTTATTAGCATACGAGACCATAAAGGGAAACAAAGCTCACCAACTTGATTTATAAAATGTTACATTCGTTAACAACACTTGTAGCTATGGTATGTGAAGCATGATAATAAAAAAACAGGGTGTGAATTTTATGTTTTAGTGCTTTTCGTTTTCTGGTGATCAAAATCAAATTCCTTTTTCTTTCAGTAGTCTTGTAGTATTTGCACTTCTTACTTTCCCTCAAGTACTAGGTATAAAGGTTTTGCTTATAAATGAAGCTTATTTGTGGGGTTGCCACTTATGGTTAATGAACCCATTCAAAAGTTCTATTTAATACAAGTCATATGTTACAGCATCATGTACTCTCCATCACATACGAACACACACAACCTGCCTGCAGCAACACAGTCTCAAATGCCATTTGATATCACGCTGCTCTTAGGTTGACATGAAGAGGAACATTTTCACGACAAGAACCCCAGCTCTCCCTCCAAGTCCTGACTTACTGAATTTCAGGGAGAAGGATTTCTTTATGTGTTTGTTTTAAATTATAACCACAAATTTGGAAGAGAAAAGAGAGAAGGCAGCTTGATGAATACTGGCAATTTTTAGAGAAATATTTTTGGCCAAATGATTGCATATGCTTCAGTGTGTTAAATATTTGGGAACATCTGGCTTTTTTTGTTGTTGTTTTCAATACTCAGCTGAAGCAAATATGTGCAAATGAAATTACTTGCGAAAACCAAATGCATTCATTTTTCTACCTAGCAAATTAATTTGTATCTATACTTCATAGAATACCTGTACTTACAAAAAACCTGTGACAGAATCTCCCAAATTTAGAATGCTGGACCCATATTTTTGAAGGATCCCTAGACGAGGCACAAGTACAAGTAGAAAGCAAACCAAAGAATCAAAGTCTAAAACTGTCAGTCCTCCACATTAAAGAAAGCCCAAGAACGTATTGTAGAAGTTAATATAGCACAATGTTATTCAATGTTATAAAAATCACACTACTTGGTCAGATGGAGGAAAGAGGAAAAAAATCCTCAAACCAACTTTTCTAAAGCTAATCAAAGGGATTTAATTCATTTATTCACAGGATTAAACTGTTTATCATCAGTCTTCATTTTTCAGCCTGTCTAATATATAAAGCCCATTTTGCTGAAAGCAAGCATTGGTAACAGAGTACATTTCACTGCTTTATAGCCAAATCCAGGGTGTTCTTCAGCTGAGTTTCATTTACTAAACCTCGCTGACATCAATCATGTTAAACTTGTACTAAAAGTCTACTGCAATGCCTCTGAGCCAAAATGCCCTATCAGTTTAATCAATGCTATTTAAAATACAACTGCAGCAGCACTTTTAAAAATTAGAAACATAATTTGGATGCCAAGCATGCATTTAGGGACCCAAATTTGAAAGTGCCTTAAGGTAATGCAATAATAAAGGATACTAATGCAAGTATAGCATTAGAATAGAAGTGTATTTTTACTTACGTGGCACTGTTACCCCGTAATGCTGGGTGTCACTGATCAGCAATTTCCGTTTTAGTTCATTCAGTCCAACCCCAACAGGACCTGAAAGAAAAACATCATGCTGTTTCCCAGCACCCAGTTCTTGCTCGTCTTCAGGTATGAGTACCCTCCGAGATAAGACTACGTAGCATATAGCTATAATATATACTGGCTTTTAATCGGAGTCATTTGGAAACGCCCATGGTTCTAACCTCTCCTAGAATATACAGCGCTGACAAATTTCAGGGGATGTAGTTGGCAGTTAAATCTGCTCTAACTTTATTACTGAGGAAAAAATATCAGTCAAAAAGTTGACGGCAAAGCTAACTTTTCTACTGCAGCTACCCACAGCATGCGCCTATCCCCATCCTTAGCCCTGCACCCTAACCTGCAGCTTGCCAGCACAAAAACTGGTTTGGCTATTCATTTTGCCAGAGTATCCCCAACTCACAGACAGGAGGACCCCAACTGGCATGCACAAAGTCCCCCCAATGCCTCTGCACTCCGAGTGTCAGCATTGCCTTTTCCTCACTCCCTCCTCCAGCTGCTGCATCCCTGGTCTGCATGAGCCTGCCACGAGGAGCATTGCTCCCACCTTCTCCCCACGCCCTGGGACCACTGCGCTCCTTCCAGCCCCGGCTGCAGCGGGAATACCGCCCGGCCTCTGGCTGGCTGTAGCTGTCACCGTCCTCTTTTTGACAGTGTGAGGGTGGCATCGCACAGGGAGAGGAAGGAAGGGCAGCACTCCCCGGGTCACAACCCGTTTGGGGTGTTTGGGTTTCTCTCTTTGTTGTTGATTTTCTATGCTCGTCTCCTGCCTGCTGTCTGAACCAGTCCAAAGCAAATGTCTCCTTCTTCATGTGGCTGCCAAAGAGAGACCACTCTTGGAAAGAGGATGGCAGGAAGAAACAAAGACTGCACGGAATTTTTTTGACCCATCTCCTCCACCTCCATTTGAGTACTGCTGTCCTAGAAGCTACTGAGTGGACATTCCTCTTGTTTTTCACGTTGTCCCTAATTCTTAGCTATTTGCTGGTGGTGCTCTATGTCTCAGCGAGGACACTCTGGCCTGTGAGGTCTCCAAGGCTCCATGGGCAACCGCTGCCTGCCCCCGCGACTCCAGCCTGCCTGGCCCCTTGGTGTCGTGTGTGCGGCAGGAGCTCAGCTCTGCCTGCTCAAGCGTTTCTGACGGTGGTTTTGTTTCTGCAGAGCAGGTCAACAGCAGAATGCAGAGGAGACTGAGTCATTGGAACCATATTCCAAAGAATACAAAGATAATACATGTGGTTTTAAGGCAAATTCTTGCTCTTCTAGTAAAAGGGACACATTTATGCATGGAGTGCTTTTTAACAGAGACATTTTAGACATTAGAAGTACAAGACCTAATAACCATTTTAATGAAGTAGTGATATATTGGTTAATTATTAGTGCAAGTCTGGTATCCAAAAGCAAAGACTGATGCTTCAGCACCTTCAGGTGCCTATTTGTAAAAATGCCTATCTGCCCTGTCTGAAGCGAGAAACACATAATGACGAAAAGCAAATGCCTGCTACTTTGCTGCTACCCCCAGACTATGGTCTCTCTGTAAAATCTTAGAGTTTCTGCATTTATAATTTTTATATGTTTACATAAGTTAAACACACAACTACATTTCAAGTTCCATCTCTGACCTGCCTGTAAATTAATCTATCAGTATGTATAAATGTTTATTTAATACGGTGTACAGCAGCCTCTACTGGTGCATGTCTGCAGAGGAAAGCAATGTGTCATGTAGATAATGGCATTACTTTTGTTCTTATTTAAAAAAAAATTTTTTTTCCTTTTTTAATATTATAGCTACTTAAGGCAAATACGGATTTTTATAGGAAAAGTAATTAAAATTCTCAATATATCCTAGCAAAGTAGAATGAAACAAGTGGCATTCAAGTAAAAAAAAATAAAAATAATTGTATTCCTATCAAGCAAAAAATTTGCCCCATCAAATCTGCATGAATATTATTTCTTCTGTCTACATGCTGCCAAATCAACAATATGCTTTTAGCTTTATTTATATATAAAGAATCCAGGCTTCGCTTCCTGTGACAGATGCTTGGGAAACTTAGAATGACATCTGTTTCCAGACCACAACCTCACTAGTACTCTGCCTCCCCTTCCAGATTACCATTTAAAAATCATCTTTAAATTTAACTACTGGAAGGTGTAGATTCTTCTTTTTCAGTGCTGCCTTGGCAGAACTCTCACAGCTGTAGCATATGGAAGGCTGATTCCCAATTAGCAATGCCATCCACTATGCTGGTTTTTACACATCTCCTGAGTGTAATGTACACTTCTAATCTGAATATTCTTTTCATTTTGATGCAACAAAGATGCCAGTTTCTAATAATTATGAACCTGAACATGGTTTGAACTCCAGAAGAGAAAAAAAGCATCAGGATTGAAAATGACAATCCAGATTCTTACAGTAAAATGCCAGGCATGTGGGACCCATGACTGTAGCATAGTTTTGGTTTACTATAAATCACCCCAGGCAGCAATATTTAGAGTTATGGGGACAGATATGGAGATATTTTGTTTATTATTTTAAAGGAACATTTATGTTGCTTGCTGTTGCATGTTGAGTCACATAAACTAAGTAACAGTTGAATCCTGCACAGACAGACTGTAGTGCCTACCTCCCCTTATTGAGGGACGCTTGCAGAATTAAACCACCAATCATTAAAACTTGCATTAAATTTTGCACCATTCAGACATATCTGAAGAAAACTGAAAAAAATCATTTGATGGAAGTTCAGGTCTCAGGAGGGTTAACCCAACCGGCCATTCTTCACCCACCAATACATACTGAGCTCCTAGAAGTCTATTTGAAAGAAGAAAAAAGAAAAAGAAAAAAAAGGGAAAAAAAAGAAGCTGTCTTTTGGAAAAGATTTTGAGAGTTAGGTGACAACATCCCTGCAGGGATCATAAAGACCCTGTAGAAAACATGCCTTGACAGAGGCGTTGTGGCTCAGTTACTAGTACAACTGATCACCATAATGCAATGACTGCACATGCATGTCCTACTGTGGCTCAATGAGATAAGCGGTAGGAAAGCAGAACCTAATTTATTGTAGCACAAAAAATTACAACTAGCAGTGGGAATGTACTTCAAGATTTGCTGTTCACAGAAGCAGGATCAGTGAGTTCATACCAGTGTTCTCATGGACAAGGCTAGGCAATACGTTACATCCTATGTATTAATTGCTGAACCATGCTGACCTACCCATGCCTTCAACCAGGAAGGTTTAATGAAGACAGCAATTCTAGGTCTCTTTCTTCATTGTCCAGATAGTTTACTTGAAGTACTATGGCCACGACAGGCCATTTGCCTGCACTACTGCTGTAGATCTAGTAAGTCTCCGCAAGCCACTACTGAATACATATCAAAGGTAAGTCAGGAGATGTAGAAAGCCAGGAGCCACTTCCGTTTAATCCTCCCTGCTCTCAGACAGACCTGGCGTCCACATATCTCCTTCATGATAAAACCAAAAGTGAGGGATTTTTTTTTTTTTTTTAAATGTAAGTAATATAACAATAGAGAACTTTTCCAGTCCCAGATTCCTTTTCTTCGCAGTGGTGACCAGAAGGACAACCTAATTCAGAGACAGAGACACTTTTCTGGTTGTGTCACACACCAGTAATAACTACTCCTTCATGGTTACACACCTCTGGTCCTTGCCTACTTAGGACAGATACATCATCAAGGATGACCACAGCATCTGAAAGGCTTTGCATGCCTCTGGTGATTAACACTGCATGCACATAACTGCGTGCATTCAGGGGGACATGTTCATAGTTTGATACTACTGATCTTGTTTTACCCTAGCACTGCCCCTTCAGAAAGCTCTGACTTAGCTAATACTACACCCTGTAAAGTCATAGTATGCGGCACATCCATTCTGGCTCTTAGGAAATAAAATTTGTGCTAGTCTGCTCCTCACAGAGGAGGCAGAAGCCTTTGTGAGCAGGACTTTTTCCTCATTAACAGAAATGAAAATTCAAATGTCTGAATAATATGTTTCATATCAAAATATTCTGCCTGTGCCTGATAGGGCTGCAAGGTATCACGCTTGGGATGCAGGCAGTGTTTTTGAAGGAAGACTTCAGGGATTTGTTGGCAGCCTGCGAACAGTAAGTTATCAGAAGATGACTGGTGACAGGATATTGGATAATTTTGGTTTTAGCAAACTCATCACAGATGACTGGTGACATGATATTGGATAATTTTGGGTTTAGCAGACTCATCACATCATAACAACTAAAAGCACAGCAAAAACATCTGTATCATTACTGCTTCAGATGATCTGTTATTTTAGCCCCAAGGATATGCAGGACTTTATTCATGAACCTACATTTGCAGACAAGGTAAATCTTGACAAACTAATACATGTAGCTGAACCTAAGACTAGTATATATCACACTACAGGGTGCTAAAAATTCCTGCGTGTGCAATTTGTGTTCTGTAAATTAGACTAGACCAATTTAAAATGAAGGCAAAAGAAATTTCCACTTCAAAGTTGTCAAATTCCCTCCCCCTAAAAAAAGGACAAAACAAAACCTAAAAAACCCTTCCAACAGTAAATTATACATTTAGACCTAGTAAAATAACAGAAATTTAGTGCCCCCACCAATTCCAGCTATAAATTAATTATCTGTCCCTTTGTTTCCTGGTACTAATATCCAAATTAGATTTGATGGATTATATTGAACGCTGCTACTGGCACACAAAAGCTGTTTAAATGTGTTCACTCCTACTGTACCTGCATTGCTTAGGTCTGCTAGTTTTTCCACATTTTGCCCAAGACATTTTTATGGTATTGGCCAGACTTAAGCTGCTCTTAATATCCAGAGAAAAACATTAGAATTACTGAAGTCTGCAATAAATTTCTGAACTGCTTTTGTTACTGCAAAAGCACACTTTCTTCATTTGATTTATTACAACAAAAATCAAATGAAATCTCTAGGTATTCCTTAGATCAGAAATATGCAATTTGTTATCAAAAGTCTACTTATCACACTTTTGCACTACACTCTGTTGATGTAAGTGTAAAATCAACTCAACCATGTTATTACTTGTTGTACATAGCCCACAATCTCACAGTGATCACACTAGTAGGGGGCTGAATTTTAGTGCTGGAGAGTGACAAAACTGTTTATTAAAAACTAAATTTAATGTTCCCTTGGATTTGAGCAATATAAAAACACAGCTACTCAACAGTTTGTAACAGTCCCTGATAGAGGGTCATATTTCTCTGCTCTGCTGCTTTTAGAATGGAGGAAACTTTACTAATGAAGCATCAACCTATGTGCTACTGCAAAAGAAACAATACTCAATGAGACATTACTCATTGGTAGTAATGGTTACTCATGACTCATTGGTACTCCAATGGTTACCTTTGAAAAATTTAAGATCAGGTACTTTCAGTTTTTTAGGAGACTGAGGCAATGCGTTTTGGTAGATAATGAATGCTGTGGGGAACCTTTGGCAGTGACAGATTACAAAAGAACAGAAAGCTAAGGATGACATTTTGAGTCTTCTGCAGCTATGTTTACATCTGTTCTTGGCCTACAGAAGTCCACCTCTCATCCACCTTTCTCTCTACTTGTCCATTTACTGATTCTAACACAGTAGATGGATTTGTTGCTTTGCACTTATATAGTCTGTCTTGGCTGACCATGGGTATTTATTCTGTTCTTTTTTCCACATAAGTATATTGATCAATATCTAAGAGCAGAACACTGACCTAATTCATATGAGCTTTAGTACAGCTTGACTGCCAGGTTCAGACTAATAACTATGGTAGCTATACTTTAATGTCATCTCCTTTTGTTTTAGCAAGGCTTTAAACATGATCTCCTAAAGCATCCTTATATGCAAGTTGGGACATCCTGTCTAGATGGGTGGACTACTATATAGGTGAAAAGGGGTAGGAGTTATTGGTCCGTACTCTACTGGATAACTCCTTACAAGTGGAGTTCCTCAGAGGTCCAGGGTAGACCCTGGGACATGCTCTGTTTCATCTGTATCAATAACCTGGAGGAGGATGCAGAATGGGCCCTCATCAAATTTGTAGACGCCAAACTGTGTGATGCAAGTGACTTGCTCAAGGGAAGGGCTTCCATTCAGAGAGACCTTGATATGTTACAGGCATGGGCTGGAAGAACTTCTGTGAAATTTGATGAGGACAAAGTCCTGCATCTGGGACAGACTAAGCCCCACAGCTGTACAGGCTGCGGAGCAACTTGGATGAAAAGGACCTGGGGGTCCAGGTCGCCAGTGAGCCTAAGTCGACAGCACATGCTGTCAGCAATGAAGGCTAACAAGACTGGGCTGCATCAGCAAAAGCCTGGCCTGTAGATAGAGGGAAATGATTCTTCCCATTTACTCAGCGCTCGTTAGACCCTGTGAGGAATACTCTGTCCACACTGGGCCCTGCACTACAAGAAAGACGTTGTTAAACTGGAGCAAAGCCAGTGCAGGGCCTCCAAGACGGTCAGCAGCTGAAGGACATGACCTGTGAGGAGAGGCTGAGGGAGCTGGGCTTGTCTAGCTCAGAGAACAGATGGCTTCAGGGGGACCCACCAGCACCCTTTTGATACTCATTGAGAAGATGGAGGCCATCTCTTTACTGAGGTGCATGATGGGAAGACAAGAGAGGACACAGTGGGAAGACAAATTCCCAAAGTTCTTGTCATCAGCAACCTGATCTGAATTCAGTGTTAATCCCGCTGAGTGGGAGGAAGGACCAGGTGACCTCCTGAGATCCCTTTCAATCTGAAAGATTTTGTGGTAAACATTGTGCTAACCACCAGTCCTCTGTTTTACCAGGTCGAAAATAAAGAAAACAACTTACCAACCAGAACTACAAGCCTGTATTTGTCATTAGGTTGTCGTCTATATTTTGCAACTTCTTCATATGTTGGGATATCTGCTGTATCATACTGATCACTCTTCTTGCACTCATACATAGATTTGTTGGTTTTTTTATCTTTTCTGCTAAGACGAAAGCTTCTTCTAAAACCAGCTGCAATAAGAACAGGATTTTTTCAAAGTAAGAAAATAAGTCTTCTCAAAATATTTGAAAACAGTCTCTTCCAAACATTTGAGGATTTGTTCATGGAATAAAAAATGGATTATATGTTTAATAAGCCACATCATTAGAATGACATTTTCCCCCAATTTTAAACTATATCAGGTGCCTATTTAATCTGCAAAATTAAGATTACCAATAAAATCGTAACAGTTGCAACAACAAGCTGTAAAATATAATTACGAGAAGTTGTTAACATATTTAGATAATTTGAGTATCTTATACATTAGTATATATACACAAGGAAATTCATGCAATATGGACTCTTGTACCACACTTAACTGCATTTCTACTAAATCACCATGACACACAGTCATCAAATACAACATATGGTAGAAACACATCTGGTGGTTGAAAGGGTTAATGAGAATTAACTCCTTGAAGAATTTTTTGTGCTTAGCTCCATGCTGATAGCATAAAAAAAGGCACACAAAACCTTTCCCAAAGATATTTAAAACCAAACACTTAGTTAAATTCCTAAACGCTATGAAGCATCTTGGACAACACAGTACCCATGTTATGCATATGTTAGCATGAAATTAAAAGTTAATATTCCTATTAAATTTGCATTTACAATTGCATCAACAGTGTGACATCTACAGTGCCTATCTAGAAGACTGGAAATTTCACATAGCTTTTAAGTACTCTCAAAGGAGATAACCATAAGCATTTTCATCAGAACAGCACAAAAAACCCCCCTTCTACATGTATGTTAAAAACTTACTCCTCTGTTCATGATTACCTTACAGTTTTTCAAATAAATCCTTTACATTGCATTATATTACATTTTAGTGGTATCTCTGTGGCACCACTTTTGTTCTAGAAGGAACTATAGGAAGGACTGCAAAGGAGGACTGCAAAGCTAATTTCATTATTTGGGGGTAATAAAGTAAAACACAAACTACACTTTTAATACTCGAAAAATCCCAACACTTTTTTTTTTTTCCTTCCCCCAGAACATTTCATAGGACAGTAAACATGTGTAAACTTCTGGTGAACCCAGATTTTTCAGCAATATGTTTTCATGAACTTGTAACAGCACTTACGTTTAGGTGTTTGAGAAGTAATCATATTACAATTTTTTCTTCAAAGGTTCAAGACTCAGTTCTGCAAATATTTAGAACAATACCTGAAGCGAAATCCTGCGAGGCTTAGCTACAGGCTTAGCATTTTGCACACACACAGTTCCACTTAGCAAAAATCTTTGCAGAACCTGGATCACAGAGGATGTTAACCAAGTTATTTTACTGATGTGAGGCCCTATACCTATGGGAATCTACAACACATGCATACACACAAGATGGGAAGAAAAAATTCATTGAGAATAGTGATGCCAATCCATCCATATTAAAAATATGAATAAGTAAAATGAAAATCAATGAAAAAAAAGGATAAGCTAGCATCCACAGAAAAGGCTAATGACATTTTTAAGAGCTACAGTATTGTCTAGACTGAGAAGGACATGGGCAGGGACAAAAAAGGGACCAAAATATAAGATATGAAAACATAATGAAATAAAGTGAATTAGCAGAACACTAACACTGAAGTGCCTGCAGTCAGAAAAGCCTAGTCGGAGCTGACAGCTGTGAGCATACACACCCAAGAGAGGGCTCAGGAGATCTTGTCTGCTCTAGGATGAAGTCTGTTGTGACACGACGATGTTTTCTTGCTACATAACTACACCTAACTGTACAGACAATGATATAAAGAAAGGTTAAAAGTAATGTTAGCAATACAGACACATGAAGTGCATTTAAAGTTTCCTAAATCCTAATCTAAAAGGCTCCAGATTAAAAGAAAAAAAAAAATTGGTTGCCTTAAAAACAAGCTGAAAATTGTTCTGTATAATCATTTTATGGAAAGAGAAGGAAAAAAAAAAAAAGAAAAAGAATAATTCTTTACCATTTGCTATTAAATGGTTGACAGAATAAAGAGCTTTGTCACAAAAATCGAAGTCCACATATCTGGAGAAGGTAAAAAACAAGGGTAGAGATGAAATGAAACTAAACCAATAGTCTCCATTCCAGTTTGGTGTTGACCTTACAAATATCAAGAGCTCTGAACCTCTGAGTAGCTGTCTCGTAGTGCCGTTACCAACAGCTTCTTAACCTCAGCTTAAATGTCCAACTGTCCAACTGTGGAATCTTTAGGAAAAATATCCTTTTTGCAAAATCTTCATATCAATTCAATATTCAATGCTGTTAGGTTTAAGACAACCATTGTAACTTGTTTCTCTTTTCTTCATACACTTCATTCAGATTTCATTACCAAACTACCAGGTGGTGGGTTATTTAAGAATTTTCATTCCTTCTTTTTTTAAAAGAGTAAAAAAAGAATAAACCAAAACAGATTCTTTTTTTTTGTGTGTGTGTGTCAAAAGGGAGAAGGAGGAGGAAAATCTTTCAGCGCTGTCTTCAGGCTGATTCGTCCCTTGTCACTTTCAGAGGCTGCATATAAGGCATCACAAAGACTGGGGTGACACGATTCCACTGCTAACATGGATTTCCTCGATACCTTGATATCCTTGACAACATTTGATATTTCTGTGACTGAAACTCACTGGTAAAATGAAAACAGTAATACTGTCCTGTATTTTAAGAAGGTTCAATAACAAGTTCACCTAGGACTTAGACTTCACAAAAAAGCTACTATATTGATTAAAAAAACCAAACATGGGAACCAGAGATAATAAATTTCCAGCATGGCTGATTTCTCTGCAGTGTGCTGCTGAAGACGCTCTGTAAAGCTAATGAATATTTAAACCCTGTGATATGCTGATTGCTTTGTCGCTTTAAGTCTATTGTCAATTTGAAAGTAGTTTCAAATGTTCCTCAAAGCCTATCTGAATAGCCCTCTAGAGAAACCCAAGAACGCTTGCTTTAAGTAGCTTTCAAAACCAAGGAAAACGTACACTACAGAGAGACAAGATGAGACTGTTTCAAATATATCCAACATTTTTATGATACTGCTACTGCATTCCTGGAAACATGATTCTCCGTCTCTCACATCTGCCATTCTATATCCTCACATATGTGGCTTAACTTTACTGTGACCTTCAGAGGCTCTTTTATAAAGAGCCGTTAATAAATATTTCTTATTGAACTCTGCATTTATAATTGCATTATAAGTTGGGCAGCTATGACTGTGCAGAAAGATTAAACTGAACTGCAACACCATCATACTTGCAAAGAATAAAACCATTTATGAACAAGCAATAAATATTCTGCTAATGTTTGCATATTTTAAAGTTTAGGAAAAATGAAAAAAACGTCATGTATTTAAATTAACAATAGAGCATTACTAAAAACATAGTGAAAATCACTACCAAAACATCCTGAGGCAATCCTGAGAGGCAATAGAAAAATAAAGTTTTTATAAAATGATTAAGCTTAAAAGTAAATTCCTATAAAGAACAGAGGGAAAAAAAAATGCTTGCCCAGAATATTTGATAATATAAACCTCAATGAATATGAAAGGAGCTGCAGGCTACACTGTCTGTGGAATATGGATATCAGCAGAGATTAAACTTAGTTGCCAAGTATTCAGACTATAAAATAAAAGGGGAAAATTCTGTCACTAAAGCTACATAAAATTCTGAACATTGAGAAGTTTGCACCAGCTCACTGGTTTCAGCTACATGACTAGAAGCTCAGTGAACATGCAAACCCATAAACTACTGCTGGAATGTAACAGTTTGGTGAAATAAGAACAGCCGCTGGGAAGAAAATATGAAGAACAAATGTTCTCAAACTACAAATGTATCCAAACTTTGTAACACTTCTCAACATGAAATAAAAATCAAAAGGCACTACTACTACTAAGCTTAATTAAGGCCCAACAACAATCCAAGAGAAACTACTTAAATCTTTAAGAAAAAGAATGAAAAAATCCCTAGCAGAAAAGTGTGATTATTCTGTTAACCACTAGCAATATACATTTGGTCATCTCAGAACACCATCCTTACATCTACTTAGAGAAATCCAAACTAAAACCAGGCAATGCATGAAACTCTCTCCCCTAAAATACTTTAAAAGGATGCTGATGTATAAAGTTGTGCTTATTTAGATTTAATTATATAATTCTAAAGAAGAAGTGAACAACAGATTGTGATTATGTTGTGTGAATTTAAATCCAAATATATTCATGAATGTAGAAAGCTAATTTCTCAAATTCAGAGAAATTACACTAACAGGAAATATTATAACTTAAATTCAACAGAAAGGCCCCACTCACACGTTTTTGTTCATTTTCATTCATTAAAACAAGTGCTTAAGTATGTGTTTAAATTATGTATATTCTTCGCTGAATTTTGTCTAATCTTACAGAATTTACAGTGAACAAACGCTGTTTATTTCTAAATGCATTTGCAAGTACTTTTTGTATTCATATTACTGACAAAAGTAAATTTGGTATCACAGTCATTATCTAGGTTTGTACGAATACAATATTTTTACAAGATATTTCTGGATTTTTTTTCCCCAAAAAATATTAGGAATATGTTTTATACTGGCTTGTATACCGAGCATTTCTATTGTTACACAGGAACTGCACAAACACAGAGCAGACTTGGTACTCTGCTTGCTTCTGGACTGATTCCCAGCTTGCACATTTAGACAGGGTTAATAAAAATTTAGATTATGTCTGGGTTTTTAAGACAAAATTGAGAATAGTAAACAGATGATATTCATCTATATTTACTGTATGTTCATAAAGGTTCAAGTAATGTAACTAGAATTTAAGCTTGGCAAAGGCAAACTCCTAATGTTCTCCCCAGCAATTCCTCAGGAAATTATTGCAGAAACACACAATACTATATTGTAACTTAAATATTAGAATTTGGTTAAAAATCATGAAATTTATCTGAGTCACTTTAGAGAGGAAGGTTCAAAATTAATAGTAACATAACCTTGGACATGAAAAATCTGACCCCAAAT